AAAAAACTAACCTGAATTGAAATTTAAAATTAATACTTTAACAATTCAGGATTTTAAAATTAATTGGACGATATGAAGACCAGTTACTCTTTAGGGAGACAAAGCTGGGATCAGGTTCAGCAGGCGTCCCACGGATCCTGTGAGAAGAAAAATGTGTTGTTCATTTGCAGCCACAGAAGCTGTTGAAGACTTTGAATACTTTTTGTGCTGGAGGTGTGGTCCATTCCTATAGTGAGGTCAGACATGAGAGGAGTGTGCAGTCAGATGGAAAGCTGGCTGGCATGTGTGCCGAACCAGAGAATTTGATACAACTGGTAAGTGGCCTGTATTTATATAGCGCTTTACTAGTCCCTAAGGACCCCAAAGCGCTTTACACATCCACTCATTCACCCATTCACACACACATTCACACACATATCCACACACTGGTGATGGCAGCTACATTGTAGCCACAGCTGGGACGCACTGACAGAGGCGAGGCTGCCGGACACTGGCGCCACCGGGCCCTCTGACCACCACCAGTAGGCAACGGGTGAAGTGTCTTGCACAAAGACACAACGACCGAGACTGTCCAAGCCAGGGAGCGAATAGGCAACCTTCCGATTACAAGGCGAACTCCCAACTCTTGAGCCATGATCGTCCACAACTGCACAATAAATTAAAACTGCTACACAATTATAAGAATAGTGTGTCAGTTCACTGTCCTTTAGGCCTTCCTTCATACCAAAAGAGAAACTGGTTTGCAGTGTGAGCTTTTGCAGAAGGAAATCCCAAACTAGTGTTGGCAGTGTAAATCAGTGTTTAAATCAGACACCAAACTAACATCAAAGAGTTGATGTTAGTAACATTTCACCTCTCTGCAGCAGATTCTTGCTGGGCTTTTTAATTTCATTTAATGGCTTCATCTTTAGATGCATCACTCTTTAAAGACACACAGCTGGGTGGAGGTCCATGTTGGTTCCTGTGAATAATGATGTGAGTGCTGAGCTGTGACATGGAGAAGAGTCATGGACAGTTAGAGATGGTCATCTCACCTCTGAGCTTTGGTCTGGCTCTCATGTTCCCCACACAGAGTGCTTTTAGAGGGAGGGGCTCCCTCCTCTCTGTCCTCACACTGATCCATGCTGCTGAATCCACATCAGCTCACACACACTTTCTACCTTCACCTGCAGAGGAAACACAAATCATTCATGTGCACATCAACTGAAATCCTCCTTTCCATCACTGTGCTGTCCAAATATCAGCTGCTGCTTTCCTGCTTCATCTCAGTGTCAGCTGAATGCAGTCAGACAGCAGTGTGAGGCAGAGGAAGCCGCTCTACTTCAGCTGCTCTACTTCTACTATCAGTCCACTAGATGGAGCCGTGAAGCAAACATGATGCATTCACTGATACACACTGATTCACTGGCTGTATCCCAATTCAGGGTCTGCAGCCTTGAAGGCTGCATTTTAAGGGCGAATACGTCACAGCAACGCGACAAAGGCTGTCCCAATTCAAAGGCTGCTCGAAATGCGGCCCTCTAATGCGTCTTTCATTTCCCTGAATTTTAAGGATGTGGCGGTGTAGACTTCATGGACCCAACATATCCCAGACTTCATAGCGTGGCGGTGGGTGTGGATAATTTTGCCGAAAAAAAAAACGGCTGAAGTGGGGCGGCTGAAGAGTAAACTTTGAAAGTAAGTACTGAATATTATGGTTCTTATTTATGTGCAAATGTTTAATAATGAAGAACATTAAAACATTACTGTTGGACACATGTCGGCAAAGTTATGTGAAATTAGCGATTTTTGTACTTTCAGCGTTTACTTGGTTTTACAGCCTTTACTTTAACTACTTTTCCATCATGTGTGCTGTCCAAATATCAGCTGCTTCTTTCCTGCTTCATCTCACTGTCAGCTGTATGCAGTCAGACAGCAGTGTCCCTGACACACAGATTCACTGTGACTGGAAGCTTCGGTCATGTTGACAGTGTGAGTTCAGGTTTTGATCTCAGAGCTTCTATTGAGCCATAATGGCTCCTTTAAACTCTCCTGTGTCTGCTGTGTTGCATGCTCACCTCTTCTCCACTGTCTTAATATGCTGCTCTCTTCAGCTCCTCTCTCAAACTCAAACTTGATAACGCCATCAGATATTTAACACGTTGTTAAAATTTTTATTGTATACATTGACTCAATTATCTGAACACATTAGCAAATATCAGACTGGAGAAAAGCAAAATAAATCATTTGATGCGATTGAAGGTCAAAGGTCACTGCTGGATACCAACACTGTTGCTGCAGATACAGGCTGATGTTTAATGTTCATCGTTTGCCTTCTGCTGCTGTTGTTTCTGCTGGACTCTGAGCTCTTAATGACACCAGTCTGCACAGTGACAACACTTCTCTTTATACATGTATTTTTTCTTTTTTCCAATAATTCTCTCCTTTTAAACTCATTTCTTTATTTGTTGACTTATTTGATTGACTGATTAAAAAAAAAAGAAAAAAAAGTAAACTAGTTACCATGAGTAGATTTCAGGTTAATGATGTGCCTTCCTGCAGTCTCTAGTTTTGCATTTCAACAGTTTGTTATTTAACCCTTTAAGACCTACCATAGAACCAAGTCCGCCAGAGCTTATATTATATTTTTACATGCTGTGGAGCCATTTTTTGGAGCATTTCAAGTTGCTATACATCAATACAACCATTATAGCCCAAATTTTAATAATATTAATAGCATTAAGTGCATAGTAATGCTGCGAGATCGATCAACTTTAGACCAGACAATCAAACTACGGAGGCCCCAGAAAAGTGCAATCAAACGATGAGTTTATTAACAGCCTGGAGAAAACATCAACATATGTCTTCTGACCAAAATACATGTTGTGGATACTTATAAAGCAGTGGGGTACACGCCCCCCCCATGGCGTTAATGACAGATTAGAATATGTTCCAGACATTAGTCACAGTTAATCGTACATCTTGTACATCTTTTAATAGCTATAAGCAGACATAGAACTTCTCTTTTCTATAACCCCTTCCATACAAGGTAATAATCTTAAGCCCTCAGGGTCTCTGAGGCTAATTATTGACTCTGATCATCTGTTACCAAGTAGAATAAAATGCAACAGGTTTGCAACAAGAAACTGGAAACATTGGGGCCTCTGCTCAGGCCTATTCCTAGATTAATATGTGTATTGTAAGCATGCATGCAATTAACCTGCTATGTTCTCATCTCCCCTCAGCATGTATCATCTGGACACTCTCACCAGTGAAGCTTAAAACCTTCTAGAATGGAACATCAACTCTTAACCAAGCACATTTATGCATTGTGTATACAATGAACTCAACCTATAGAAATAGAAAGGTCAATGTGATGACAGACATATTCAATGCAATATAAACCCTGTAGGAAATATTACTGATATATGATACTGTGAAACATGTTATTAATACATTCTTCATAAGGCAGATTATATGGTAGCAATAAAAGAATCTCTGAATCCCAACAATAGTAATTACATAAATTGCAAAAAAGTGCAATAAACTACAAAAAAATTGAAAATCGTTTTTGATTTTTTAACATATATTTCTAGTTAGAGAAATTTAAGAGGCTTATCCCTCAAAAGTGTAAATGCAAAAATGTTGCACAAACTAGTTTCCCACCAAAGGAAATTTATTTTAAGTGTCTTCATAGTTTTATTTTTGAGATACACCAATTTTGCAATATGAGTCCTCAGCATCCCAGAAACGTCACAGAAAGTCATAAAGTCAAACATAACTTTTAAAAACACCAGTATAGGCTCATAATGGTAAAAAACTACATTTCCGCAAAATAACGTCACTTCCGGTTCCGGGCAGGTCATGCGGTCATGTGATAGTTCGCGCTGATGGACGTAGGAAGTGTTACAAACAGCTGATCTGATCGGCAAAGCGTGTTTCTGGAATATCATGTTTTTGTTGCTGCAAGTGCTTTTTATGCAGTTTTTGCAAAGCTATATGTGGAAGGAAACTGTGACCAAGGACAAGCTGATGTCATCAGATCTAAGTACAACTCCTCCGGTTTCATATGCAAAAAAAATTATTGCGCTAGCTTACGTGGTTGCAGAGCTACCGGGATTTAAAAATAGTTACGCAAAATGGAGCGTGTCCGCTCCGACCGGCTTTAAAGGGTTAAACCAGCTGCTGCTGTTTTGGATTATACCTCATCCTTACAGTCACCCCTCAGGATCCCTGTCCCTGTATACTGCTAACAAATTTCTCAGTCATGTATTTTAAGAGAATAAAAGAAAGAAGGTTTAAACGGAAGGAACAAAATTTAGGTAAATACAAAATCAAAAGACAAAACCCCCCCAAAACAAAAAAATGGAGATGGCTCAATGTGAAAGCATCACTTCCTGTATGGGGATAGCCAACTGTTTACATGTCACATGTATAATTAAACAATAATTTACAGTCTCTTGATTTTTTTTTACCCATCTGACCATCAACTAATTCTGTGCTAACAATACGCACGGAGAAACACACAACAGAAGCTCTTTCCAGTAACACTTTCATGTGTCACTGTCAGCTTGTTTTGAACGGGATTTTCAGAAAAGTGTCGAGTGACTTTTTTTTGTAGAAGTTAGACAATAACAACCATTTTTTTTGAGTCATTTAAGATTTAATTTTATCTGCATTGTCACTTAAATTTATTTCCTGAATTAGACCTTTAACAGATAATTTTAAAAAACAAACAAACAAAATAATCAGTTTAATCCAAGAGGAAACTGAGAGCATTTTGTTTAAGTTTTCTTGTCCTTTACAGCTAAACAGCAGATTGAAATAAAAGCGTTCAGTACAAAAATGACTCATCTGATAGTGGGACTCTCAACCATTTGACCTTAGAACTGAAGAAGCTTCTCGGATGAGAGGTGAAACGTCTTCAAGCAACTTAAAGGAGTCCAGACACTTTTCTTTGCAAGCTCCTTTGACTACATCATAATAAATGCTGCTTTTCTCATTGGGATTCTAACCAGGTCCATAATAAATGGATTTGCTGAGCTCAGCATTTTCTGCTTTGATGAAAGATAAACATGAAGCTGGATTTCTTGTTGAAAATGCAAAGGAGCTGGTTGTGAACTAAGCTTCAGAGAAACACTACATACTGATATCCAATGTGAAGCTTTGAGTGGAAAAAGACATGAAAAGGGTTCTCTTTTGGAAAGAGCCATTTAAAGATGCAATACTCAAACAGAAGTTTGAACCTGTACTATTAGAGCCATAAAGGGAATTTCGACAATATAGACTTTAAATCCAAATGGAATATTTATTTAAGCAATGTTGCAGGAACAAAGAAAACCGCTTAATCAGATGATCTCAATTATACAGTCAGATTAATTTAAAAAAATTCCATAAACTTCCTAATCTACCCTATGGTGATTACAATTTCATCTACTGGTCTGTGGATGGTTGAGAGAGTAGGGAGAGAGTCAAGTCCTGGCCAGTAATGCATTCTTCTCCCAGTCTTGCTAGCGCAAACCCACATATGGAAGCAGTTACTCAGTTGAAAGTAATCCAAGTCTTCTCGGCTTCAAATCAACTCCACACAAGTGAGCAGAGAAAAACAACAATTACATTTCCAAATTTTAACTCCACAGTGATTTGGTTAAAATATAGATTCTCAAATATTATCTCTTATCACTGCACCAAACTACAAGAAATAAAAACTAAATATTCTCAGACAACATTTTTTACATCCTCTTGACAGGCTTGCACCACTCTGATTTCTCTTGAGAAAGTTGATAATGAGTTTCCACTTCTCTTGACACCAGACCAGTACAGGCTTTTCTATTTGATTCAGAATCAACACTAAGTCTAAAGAGCACGCTCTTTTCATCACACAGATTACATTATTTGATTACATTTAAAAAAAAAAAAAAAGACTATTTTAACATCATTTGCAAAATCATATGTAAATATACACATCTGTAGACCTTTGTATTACATTTACCATAATAAGACTGGGCGTTATTCTTTATTTACTATTCATAAACGGGGATAAGCTGAAGATTTCACTCCTACTGAAACAAAAAACATCAATTTAACCACAGCAGCTTAGACTGAAATCTATTTAGGAACATCTTTCCATAAACCAACATGATTGTACTGTTATTGAACAATCCGGTCACAGAAATGATGTAGTAGAGTTGCTGTGCTAAATTTAGGTGTACCGCTGAAACTCCCAAATGTCTTCTCAAAAACTGTGTTCTTATCTTCTCTGTTCAGACCTTCCTTCCTGTCCTGCTTCCAAAAATGACTCAAATAACCACAGCATGAGCGACACTGTAAATTCCATGCTTTGAGTGAAAAAAGAAAGAAAAAAACATCTGGACCCTGGAATAATGGTAGCTTCCATTTTTTAAGGACTGAAGAGGAAGAAGTTTCCAAGGAATCGTTTAGAACAGTTTAAAAGAACTTTTTAAGAACTGATTGAATCCATGAATCTGAAAACGTGTTACTGAGTAAAAGAGACTGATATGTACAGATTGAACAACAGTCTGTTCAACAGTCAGACTGTTTCTCTAACAGGAGGATGCTCTTTACACTCAAACCGGCACAGAGTCACTGACGAACCAGACCAGACTGTAAACCCAGGATAAAGAGTTTCATTGAATGTGGTATTGAAGGTGTGGAGGTGGATCAGAGTGTCAGAGGAGACTCTGTAGAAGGATAGAGTGCCAGCAGGACAGTCCACATACACTGCTACTCTGTTAGAGACAGAGGAGGAGGAGGAGGAGGAGGAGGAGGAGGAGGAGGAGGAGATGGAGATGGATGTTTTTATGTTATTGTGCCAGACACAAAGAGGAATATAATTGGAGCACCACAAACTCCAGGACTGATCATTCCATCCAAACACACAGTCAGGACTCTCTCCTTTCCTTCTGGTTCTTCTATAACTCACAGACATGCGAACATTTCCTCTCCACTCAACCTCCCAGTAACAGCAACCAGTCAGACCATTTCTGCAAAGCAGCTGAGGGCAAATATCAAATCTGTCTGGATGATCAGGATACGACTGAACCTCCTCCACATATGTCACCTGGCTGTTGTTGTCAGACAGCTGGAGGTTTGTGTGAACTGTGTTTGTGTCGATTGTGAGTTGACAGGAATCTGATGGAGAGAACAAACACAATCTAGCTGCAGTTATTGATCCATCATCTGTTCATTGATTGACACTTTGATGATGACTCCTGACATCAGAGATGTGAATGAGTGATGTGACAGTTTGAAGATGGTTGAATGTGTGCTGCTTTGTTTTCATGAATCCCATTAAAAACACACTTACACTTCCTCAGACCTGGTGTCAGCCATTGTTCTCCAGCAGGCTCCACTCTGAAAGGAGGAGGGGGGTCAGAGCAGCACAGTCTCTTTCAGCATGCACATATGGACATTACATCACTCTCATATTTATCAGTGTCTACATACTGTTAGACACTGATAAAGAAACAGTCCAACATTTTCACAAATACACTTCAATCCATACGTGGATCAAACTGCTGATGATTTGGACTGATCCTGGATCTGTCAGTACACCACTGTATTGAATGAAATATGACTGACTCAAACTGTGAACTCATGTCTTTTCAATACAAATCCCCTGTACTTCCTGGATACCTGTTTGTTCCAGTGGTATGGAGTCTGGAGGAGCATGAGCATAAGTGGCTGAAGAGGAGCGAGAGTGTGGACTATTTTCCTGCGTTCCTTTCCCTGGAGACACCTTGTATATATGTTGCACTGTTGGATTGTAAATAAACTTGTGAACTCTCTTTTCCTAAAATCTGAGTCTGCACCAGAGTCCTTTCTGTCAGCATTGACAGATTTAATTTATGCCCTTTTCTTTTTTAACTTGTGATGCGTTTATATCCCATGAGTTACAGGGCTTCTAAACCCCTTTTCATCATTTAAAGCTATTGTTTATTATTGTCACATGGGGGTGTTGTGAGGCTGTCTTTCGTTTATGATGAAGATACGACTAGTACCCAGGAAGCATAATTTTTTCCTTGCCTGTGAGATCTCCCCTCTAATGTCAACCATATGGAAAAGATATATATAAATCTTATAAAGTTTTTATCTGTCTTGTATGAAACTTGTATGAAAAGCATACAGGAGTGAAAGCACATATAAGATCCCTTGAAAAATTATATAATGAAACTTGTATGTTTTATATACTTACTAAAAAAATATATGAAAGTAATGAGAAAGTGGCCACTTTCATGAGTAAATCATATATGTTTTTACTATTTCTTTTCCATATGGGCAGTCAAGTGTGTGTCGAAGTGCAACAGGAAAATATCTTTGTATGCAGTGCTGGAAACCAATTAATGACCAAATTCTTTTTATATATCAATCGTACTAATCATCAGCTCATGGTTTACCAGACAGCAAATTTTTTATAAAGTCATAAAAAGAATCACTCTGAGGCTAACAAATATATCAATGGGTGCAGGAAGCTGAGGATAAGGAATTTTTCGTAGCAAGTAATCCAAATTATGCCACAGTATATAAATGACTGACCTCGTGCTGAGAACGGATCGCTTCAGGTATTCTTCTGACTGAAGTTTGGCCTGTTTTCAGCATCTGTTCCTGCTATTAAATTGCATTTGTCTCTGACCATCAAAGACCCTCAAGTTCAGATTTATTGAGGCAAAAAAAGTTTGCGTTTATTCTCCAGCTTGTCTTTGCTGTGTTTACATCGTTAGATGCCAGCTAGCCCAACTTGAGTAACCCTATAAACATTCCTGAAGTAAGAAAAATTAGGTTTTCTTACTTCATTTATGTCAGAAGTGATAGAGCTGTACATTTTAAGTTTTGAGAAACAAACAGGAAGTGAGTGAAGGACACAGTAAATGTTCCAGTGAAAAGGCTTTCAGTTTTCACTGGAAATGTTTCCAGCTCTTCCTCCTCTATTAGACATTCTCCCCATACCTAAGAGTGTCCAGTCTCCAGCTTGGATCCTTTAGTCCAGCCAACAGCAGCTTCATTCCTGAGGGTCCTGGATGATTGTAGCTCAGGTCCAGCTCTCTCAGATGGGAGGGGTTGGAGCTCAGCGCTGAAGTTAGAGAAGTACAGCCTTCCTCTGTGATCAGACAGCCTGACAGCCTACAGAAATGTGCCATTAATACGTTACATTAATACATTAATTTATAAATAAATCAACTATTAATATAATAACCGATATGTAAAAAAACAAAAAAGATGCATTCTTAGATCCCAAACCTATGCCAGTGCATCTCAGGGTGGGGGGGCTTGTGAACAGCTCCTGGGTTGGCTGGGTCAGGAAAACTACAAGATTAAACCTGTGGATTGAGCTGCTGTGGACCCAGCTGCTCTGGATCCAGCTCAGGCACGTGCAGAGGGGAGCACCCGCCCCTTTCCTGAAGGGTGCCCAAAGTGTCCTTTTGTTGAGGCAACTTTTTTTTTATTTGTGCCTCAACTGTCAGTTTTTTACCCAAGGTAATCTGCCATTTTTGAAGGGTTTAGGTCAAAGAACAAAGACCATGACAATAACTAACTAGACAGCTCTTTCTCTTTATATTTATCCTCATCGTATCTTCGTTGACCAAGTATATTGAGATTGATTCTGGACTTTTTGAAATTATTAAATATTGGTCTTAGTCTCTGTGTATATTATTCTCTTCTGCATCTGAAATCTGTTATGGTTCTTAATTTTTGCTCTGTTATGTTAGTTGCTTTGCATCTCTCTATCTCTCTCTTTATACTGTCTCTCTCTCTGTCCCTTTCTTTCTGTCTCTCTTTTCCGCCCTCTCCCACACCTCACCTATATCTCTGTGTTGGGTGGGACATGCCCGGAACACCTCACCCAGGAGGCGCTCAGGAGGCATCCTTGTCAGATGCCTGAACCACCTCAGCTGGCTCCTTTCGATGTGGAGGAGCAGCGGCTCTACTCTGAGCCCCTCCCGGATGGCCAAATTTCTCACCCTATCTGTAAGGGAGAGGGCAGCCACCCTTCGGAGGAAGCTCATTTCCGCCGCTTGTATCCGCGATCTCGTTCTTTCGCTCACTACCCACAGCTCGTGACCATAGGTGAGGGTAGGGACGTAGATCGACCGGTAAATTGTGAGCGTCGCTTCTACACTCAGCTCCCTCTTCACCACGACGGACCGGTGCAGCGTCCGCATCACTGCAGCCGCAGCACCAATCCGTCTATCGATCTCCAGCTCCCTTCTCCCATCACTCGCGAACAAGACCCTGAGATACTTGAACTCCTCCACTTGGAGCAGGAACTCATTCCTGACCCGGAGTGGGCACTCCACCTTTTTCCAGCTGAGAACCATGGCCTCAGATTTGGAGGTGCTGATCCTCATTCCTGCTGCTTCACACTCGGCTGCGAACCGTTCCAATGCGAGCTGGAGGCCTTCACCTGATGAAGCCAACAGAACCACATCATCCGCAAAAAGCAGAGATGAGATTCTGAGGCCACCAAAGTGAAAGCCCTCCACCACTTGGCTGCGCCTAGAAATCCTGTCCATAAAAATTATGAACAGAATCTATGACAAAGGGCAGCCCTGGCAGAACCCATCACCCACTGGGAACGAGTCCGACTTATTGCCGGCCATGCGAACCAAGCTCTTGCAACGGTTGTATAGGGATTGAATGGCCCATCGCAATGGGCCAGACACCCCATACTACCGCAGCACCTCCCACAGGACACCCCGAGGGACACGGTCGAATGCCTTCTCCAAGTCCACAAAACACATGTAGACTGGTTGGGCAAACTCCCATGCACCCTCAAGTATCCTCTCAAGGATACTTGAGGGTTGGTCCAGTGTTCCGCGACCAGGACGAAAGCCGCATTGTTCCTCCTGTATCCGAGGTTCGACTAGCGGGCGAACTCTCTGTTCCAGCACCCTGGCATAGACTTTCCCAGGGAGGCTGAGGAGTGTGATCCCCCTGTAGCTGGAACACACCCTCCAGTCCCCCTTCTTAGAGCTGGGGACCACCACCCCGGTCTGCCAGTCCAGGATTACTGCCACTGATCTCCACGCAACATTGTAGAGGCGTGTCAACCAGGACAGCCCTACAATGTCCAGAGCCTTCAGGAACTCAGGGCGGACCTCATCAAGACCAGGGGCTCTGCCACCAAGGAGTTGTTTAACTACCTCAGTGACCTCACCTCCGGAAATTGGCGGGTCATTCCCCTCATCCACAGACTCTGCTTCCTCCTCGGAAGACGTGTCAGTGCGATTAAGGAGGTCCTCGAAGTATTCCTTCCGCCGCCTGACAGTTTTCTCAGTCGAAGTCAGCAGCGCTCCGCCAGCACTATACACAGTGCAGGTAGAGCACCGCTTTCCCCTCCTGAGATGCCTGACGGTTTGCCAGAATCTCTTCGAGGCAATCCGAAAGTCTTTTTCCATGGCCTCTCTGAACTCCTCCCACACCCGAGTTTTTGCTTCAGCCACTGCCCGAGCCGCATTCCACTTAGCCTGTCGATACCTGTCAGCTGCCTCTGGAGTCCCACAGGCTAACCAAGCCCAATAGGACTCCTTCTTCAGCCTGGTGGCTCCCTTCACCTCTGGTGTCAACCATTTGGTTCAGGGATTACCACCATGGCAGGCATCAACCACCTTGCGGCCACAGCTCAATGCAGCAGCTTCAGCAATGGAGACGCTGAACATGGTCCATTCGGACTCAATGTCCCCAGTCTCCCTTAGAATGCTGTTGAAGCTCTGCCGGAGGTGTGCGTTGAAGATCTCAGGACACCCTTACTACGTGTTTAGGTGCACCAGGTCTGTCCAGCGTCCTCCCCCGCCACCTGATCCAACTCACCACCAGGTGGTGATCAGTTGACAGCTCAGCCCCCTCAGTTTGAACAAGGTGTTTGTTATGGCTAACTGTTATTTGCACTGAAGTCCAATAACAAAACACCGCTCGGGTTCAGATCAGGGAGGCCGTTTCTCCAAATCACGCCCCTATAGGTCTCGCTGTCATTACCCACGTGAGCATTGAAGTCTCCCAGTAGGACAACAGAGTCTCCAGGTGGAGCACCTTCCAGCACCCCACCCAGGGACTCTAAGAAGGCTGGGTACTCTGAACTGCCACTCGGCGCATAAGCGCAGAGGACAGTCAGGACCCGTTCCCCGACCATAAGGCGCAGGGAAGAAACCCTCTCATCCACCGGGAAAAACCCCAACGTACCGGCAGCAAGCCGAGGGGCTATTAGAATACCCACCCCATCCTGCCGCCTGTCACCAGGGGCAACTCCAGACTGAGACAGAGTCCAGCCCTTCTCAAGGAGACTGGTTCCAGAGCCCAAGCCATGCATAGATGTGAGCCCGACTATATCTAGCCGGTACCTCTCAACCTCACGCACTAACTAAGGCTCCTTCCCCACCAGAGAGGTGACATTCCATGTCCCAATTGCCAGTCTTGGCAGCTGGGGATCAGTCCGCCAGGGCCTCCTCTCCTGTCCGTCGCCCGACACACAATGCAGCCGACCCCTATGGCGCCTCCTGCGGGTGGTGGGCCTGCGGGAGGATGGGCTCATGTGCCATTTTCGGGCTGTGCCCGGCCGGGCCCCATGGACTAAGGCCCGGCCACCAGACGCTCGCCCTCAGGCACCCTCCCCAGGCCTGGCTCCAGGGCGGGGCCCCGGTAACCCTATCCCGGGCAGGGTAAACTGTTCCCTCGATGTTACCTTCATAAGGGTTTAATTACATGAATATAATTGATTTAATAATTTTTGGAAAAGTTTGGATCCTGACCTGAGAGCTTCCAGTGTACAGTGTGGACTCTTTAGTCCAACAGACAGAAGCTTAACGCCTGAATCCCGCAGGTTGTTGTTACTCAGGTCCACCATTCTCATTGAACTGAGAACTGAGGACAGCGCTTCACAGCTTCTCTCCAAAAGGTTACAGCCAGACAGTCTGAAAAACAAAGGTATTTAGGATCAAATGAAACCAATTTAAGTGTTCAACCCAAACAAGAAAGATAAAAAGTTTAATATGCACCTAATGCATAACAAAATAACTTAAAATACATATATATTACATTTCCTCATTAAAACACAGATATACCACATTATTTAAATGGAAACCAGTAAGGACTTGTTAGATTTAGCGATTCTAGTCTAGCACTCTGTCAGTGCGTCCCAGGGTGGCTGTGGCTACAATGTAGCTTGCCATCACCAGTGTGCGAATGTGTGCGTGAATGGGTGGATGACTGGATGTGTAAAGCGCTTTGGGGTCCTTAGGGACTAGTAAAGCGCTGTATAAATACAGGCGATTTACCATTTACCAATTTAGTTCAGTACCTGCAGGTACAGTCATATAGTACTGCTGATCACTTTCCTAATTTTAAAATCTGTGAGTATTGTTCCTTGATACAGTTCAAAATAATCTTTTTTTTTTATAATAACATACCGAACAATGCTATAGACAATCAGCTCATCTTTTATTTAAAATAAGCTGTTTAAGTATGGTTAAGGAAAGCCCTCAGTTCTTGTAAAATCCACTTTCCATGGCTTATGGTTTAGAGGTTAGTAAAAACTGTAACCATACTAAAAGAAATCTGCCTTATTATTGGAAAGCTAATTTCTTCAGAAACAATTATATATATTTTAGAACATGATTTAAAAAATCCAGCCTCGGATAAAGCGGATGAAGATGGACGGATGGATGGATTTAAAAAATATGACAGGAGGGAGTGAAAACAAACACAAATATTGCACCAGGGCATTTGTTTGGGAAACAGTACGATAATATTTTGCTTAGTGTAGGATATAATTGCAGCCTGCAAACACTCCTTTCAATGTGAGAGAAACTAAAATGTTATGAATTATTGTATGTATGTGTTATGTCTTATACACACAAGCTGTGGGCTAGACTTCCGGGTGAGCGTATGCTGGCGTGTCTGTCTGCCGCTGCTCTCCATGTGTGTGTTCTCCCTGTTTAGCTCCATTTTAATTTTTCGCTAAAGTTTCAGTAAAAAGGACTAGATGTTACAGTCCCTAATAATGCATTGCTTTTGTTACGGATTCAAATATTGGGGATGGATACAAGAGGAAAAAACCACAATAACAACACTGGTCTGGCCGGGTTGAGTCAAACGATGATTTTAATGATCACGCGCGTGGGAGATGGACACCGTACGCAGACAGCATCAGATCTCAAAATTGTGGAGCATTGATCAAACTCTTATAGCCTCTAGTGGCCCCCACCTAATCATAAAAGCCTAAACATTCACATTCATTCTCTCACCCAGCGCCTAAGCTACGACCTTGGCTCCCTGTTTATCTGCTCCTGCTGAGATGGGGCAGAAAACTCCAGTATGTTCTGTTCTCTTTTAATCAGACAAATAAGGCAATGACTTTCTGAGAACAGTATTTCTTATAACTCAGCAGTATAATGCATCATAAAACAATATCATTCATTCACAATAAATCAGCAATCTAATGTAATGCAAATCAGTTTAACAAATGCAATAGTTATCACCTTTTTCTAATTCAGGAGAATAATGCAAACTAGAACTACTGCATTTCGTTGCCCTGTACCTGTGCATGTGCAATGACAATAAAGTTGAATTCTATTCTATTCTATTCTATTCTATAATAATTCACAATCTTTAATTAAGGGTCTAACATGGCATAAAATAATATTATAATATTATATTATTATTAATATTATAATCCCACAGTCCCACCTACACCCTGCAATCCAGTGTGGCCGGGTTCATTTCTTCCTACCCCTGAGGTCCTTTGTCCCCCTGTTGGGTGAACCATATGTGAGATGACCTCTGTGTTTGCGCAGTTCAGATGCAAGAAAAACTATTATTACAACAATAGCAGGTACAGATGACACTCCCCAGTTCTCCCACAGCTTTATTTTGGTGCCACCTTATACCCCTCAGACGTACTCAAACTAGAACCTCTGTCCAAGGAGCTTTTAGCCTTTCCCACACTTTCAATGAAGGAAGGCTGTTAAAAGGAAAGGCAGCCCAGAAACTTTCCGAGTAGCACACATCGTTATGTGCCTAAACTTTCAGTCTAATCTGCCATTTTTTCTTCCTTGGTTAGGTTTAAGGATTAGAGATCTGATCTAGATTATCATATTAAAATTAGTATTTAATTTTACTGTTTTAGCCTTAGAGCATGGCTTTTTTATTTGACCCTGGAAAAACTGAATCTTATCGTTTTTCGGGTGATCGACTCTCCTGGGGACCTGACTTACCAGCCTAACGCGAGCCTTTGCTGCCCTCTGCATGTACTACTGTTTGGCCTGTCACCGCTGTCAGGGTCTTGTGTGTGGATGAGAAGAAGAGGACCCAAACGCAGGACTCACGGTGCAGGATAATGGTGTTTATCGGAAAGGATGACACAACGAGAGCAGGAGATGAATGGCTGGCTGGACTGGACTGGACTGGACTGGACTGGACTGGACTGAAATGAACTGAACTGAACTCAACTGGACTGACTGACTGACTGACTGAACTGAACTGAAAACAAACAACATCAATGACAAGACAATGAGCGAGTGGAAACTCAGGACTTAAATGCACTGATGAGGATGATAATGAGAGACCGGTGAGTACACAGCTGAACTTAATCAAACTAACATCACACAGGAAAGGAACTGGCACAACAAGGCAGGAAATGTGAACGAGTGAGAAATAAACTCAACATGAACAAACTGAAAATACAACCCAGGAACCCTGACAACCGCATTCAAGTATCTGTCTTCTAAAGCTGTCGACGGTGTGCACAGTGCCAGGTAGGTAATCACAGCTACTTTTCTGGCACTGGACTGTAAATCGTGCCCCAGTGGCATGCTGGCTAACGCAGTTTAACTTGGCTTTGTGATCAAATGGAGAAACTATGATTCCCCTTTTAATGTATAGATATGTGCATATTTGCATGTACACATATATTTTTACAAAGATATATGGATGTCTCACAATGTTTTCTATAACGTTTTCATCTTATCTATTTTAATTCTTTTTATTTGTTTATATTATCCCTCTGTTCAGCACTTTGGCCATCACTTGATGTCCTTTAAATGTGCTATATAAATAAAGTTGACTTGACTTGACTACTTACAGAGCTTTGTTAGAGGCTTTGACCAATGGGAGCAGCCTAAAAAGAGCTTCCTCTGAAGGAGAGTATTTCTTCAGGTCAAACACATCCAGATCTTTTTCTGATGACAGTAAGATGAAGACCAGAGCTGACCACTGAGCAGGAGAAAGTTCATCTGCGGAGAGACTTCCTGATCTCAGGGACTGTTGGATTTCCTCCACTAGAGAACAATCATTCAGTTCATTTAGACAGTGGAACAGATTGATGCTTTTCTCTGCAGACAGATTCTCACTGAGCTTCTCCTTGATGTAGTCAACTGTTTTCTGATTGGTCTGTGAGCTACTTCTTGCCAGTGTAAGCAGACCTTGTAGGAGAGTCTGATTGGTCTGCAGTGAAAGACCAAGGAGGAAGCGCAGGAACAAGTCCAGGTGTCCATTTGTACTCTGTAAGGCCTTGTCAACAGCACTCTGGTAGAAGTGTTTCTCTGCAGATTCTCTTGTTTCAGACTTCTGGGAGGTTGTTTGTTGTTCTTCCAGCAGATTGAGTCCAGAGTCGATGAAAGTCAGATGGACATGAAGAGCAGCCAGAAACTCCTGAACACTCAGATGGATGAAGCAGAACACCTTGTCCCGGTACAGTCCTCTCTCCTCTTTAAAGATCTGTGTGAACACTCCTGAGTACACTGAGGCTGCTCTGATATCAATGCCACACTCTGTCAGGTCTGATTCATAGAAGATCAGTTTTCCATTCTGCAGCTGATCAAAGGCCAGTTTTCCCAGAGACTCAATCATCTTCCTGCTCTCTGGACTCCAGTGTGGATCTGTCTCAGCTCCTCCATCATACTTGACCTTCTTCACTTTGGCCTGAACCACGAGGAAGTGGATGTACATCTCAGTCAGGGTCTTGGGCAGTGGTCCTCCCTCTCTGGTTTTTAGCACATCCTCCAGAACTGTAGCAGTGATCCAGCAGAAGACTGGGATGTGGCACATGATGTGAAGGCTTCGTGATGTCTTGATGTGGGAGAGGATTCTGTGGGCTTGCTTTTTATCCCTAAATCTCTTCCTGAAGTACTCCTCCTTCTGTGGATCAGTGAACCCTCTGACCTCTGTCACCATGTCAAAACATCCAGGAGGGATCTGATTGGCCGCTGCAGGTCGTGTGGTTATCCAGAGGCGAGCAGAGGGAAGCAGTTTCCCCCTGATGAGATTTATCAGCAGCACATCCACTGAGGTCGACTTTCTAGGGTCAGTTAGGATTGCAGTTTTGTGGAAGTCCAGAGGAAGTCGACACTCATCCAGACCATCAAAGATGAACACAACCTGGAAGTCTTCAAAGCTGCAGATTCCTGCTTCTTTGGTTTCTTTAAAGAAGTAATGAACAAGTTCCACCAAGCTGAACTTTTCCTCTTTCAGCACATTCAGCTCTCTGAAGGTGAATGGAAATATGAACTGGATGTCCTGGTTGGCTTTGTCTTCAGCCCAGTCCAGGGTGTATTTCTGAGTTGATACGGTTTTCCCAATGCCAGCCACTCCCTTTGTCAGCACTGTTCTGATTGTTCCATCTCTTTCAGGTGAGGCTTTAAAGACATCTTCTTGTCTCATTATTGCTTCTAGACTGTCTGGTTTCCTGGATGCTTTTTCAATTTGTCTGACCTCATGCACATCATTGACCTCTGCAGTCCCTCCCTCTGTGATGTAGAGCTCTGTGTAGATCTGATTCAGAAGGGTTGGATTTCCTGCTTTAGCAATCCCCTCAAACACACACTGGAACTTCTTCTTCAGGTTTGACTTAAGTTCATGCTGACTCCAATGCCAGTTCCTAATGGAAGTTCCTAAACAAAAAACAAACAAACCAAAAAAATCAGTGATAGAGTCAGTTGAAGGTATGACGTTTCAATTTCATGAAACGTTAGTACAATGTTTCCCAACATTTTTTAGCTATGGTACATATTTCACTTTAGAAAAATCCCACAGCACACCACCAAACCAAAATATCACACATTAATAATTTTTTCCTGCACACCAGGTATAGCGGAATTGTTCCCAGTATATCTTTTTTTTTAATCTTTCTTCTGACCACTACTCATGCTAGGGCCTTCATCTGGGTCAGAACTTTCTCAGGGACCGGTTAACTACTTTTCAGATATTTATCTGTTGCAATTATACTCTGCGTTGTCTCAGCATGACCATGTAATTTCTTCTTCGACTTCTTTTTACTGTCAGTTGACAACACCTTTAATTAGAGTATAACACACTTGATCACTTCTCACACCACACCTATGTGCTGTGGTACAGTGGTTGGAAAACACTGCATTAGTAAATGCCTAATTTATCAATGTGCTTATATCTTTAGAAGAGTAATTCCTAAAGTGTAGGCTGGGGCTCCATAGTGGGCCCCACTAAATGTTTTTGAACTACAACTGTTAGTTCTATATACTAAATGTATATATCTAAATGTTTTTAGATGTATATATATATATATATAAAGTGAGTTCAAACAATATTACTCTTGTCTAAATATACTGCTCTTGTATTTAACCTGTCCTAGCGGGAGGTGGGTCACACATTGGCTTAACACTTTGCAGAGTGCTGGGTTGCATTAGCAATTCATAGTCAATATCCTGTGTGGTTTATCATTTTTCTAAATGCAATTCCGAAGAAATACATCATTTTCTATTGTATTTTTATAATGGTGAAGATTTAAGATTGGGTAGTGCCGCTGGATTTTCTAGTTTTTAAGTTGGCCGCAGTTATCTTGACTTTGGAAATGCCTGCTTTTTTGGAAATATCCCCTTACTGGTCTTTAGATTGGCTGCCAGCTTCTCCTGCTTCATTCTCCTTAAGAAGTGCAGTGTGATCTTCACAAATGCCTCTTTGGTGCTCCTCCTCTGCTCTTCATCCTCATCTTCCAAAACATCCGCACAACCCCCTTGACATTGCAAGTATTCTGAGTTATCTGAGCTTAGAACCTTTTGTATCCTCTCCAGTTCGTTTCTCACAAAAGTGATGATGTTGTCCTGCAGGACCTTGAACAGAACAGAACACCATGTGAATGTCACAGTCACCCAATAATACTGACTCAATGGCTGGTGAAAGACAAGACAGGAAAACAGGGAGATCAAGAATGACAAACACAAAAAAAATAAAACGGGAAATGGAAGATGCACACAGTAAAGAGATATCTATCTCTCACTCTCTATCTACAGATATCTGTCTCTTTAGAGATAGACAGATAGACAGATCACCTGATCCATCCTTAAGTATTAGCTTTATCAAAAAGGAATGTTTGGAGCCTAATGCTAGACACTAGACCTAACGCTGGACAATCAGAATACAGCAAACAGTTTATGGGTAAAATGCAGCTGCTGAGGTCAAGATTGGTCAAATTAGTAAATGGTACATATAATAAGACATACTGTCAAATTGTTCGGGCATGCCCAGCTGCCAGAATGTATCATTTTCTTTAAATGGTGCAGAACTGGATTCCCAATTTGCCTCACTTTGCCTTGCCTTGGCTCATTTCCAGTACTACAGAATAAATAAAAACCAAAGGTTTTACCACCAACCTTGTGTTTGATGGAAAAGTGGCTGTACTTCCCGAGCCACAACATTAAAAAAGAAAAAAAAAAAGTAGTTGTTGTACATACCATAAATATAGGGTTCAGATCTGTTTGATGCTGCTGGGAAGACTGACCGCTGGGAATCTTTGAGCTCTCCCGGTCAACTCTGGAGGAATAAGGAAGAATAAGATTAACATAATGAGGCATTATAACAACAAGACAAGACATTATTTTAATGTTATTATTATTAGAAAAATCAGTCAGAACTCAGTTACACTGAACATTTAATGCAGAATAGCGCAGAATCAAGTGGAAATGAAATCATAATCAAACTCTCATGAATGTGATGTGTGGCAGGCAAAGGTTGGGCACAAACACATGACTTGAACACACAGGAGGTAACTGAAAACGGCAGCTTTATTGATGCAGAAAACCCAAAACAAAACAAACAAGAAAATAAAATAAAATTTAAAATGGAAACTATGAACTAAGAGACAGCGAAGGAAACGAGTATCATGGGTGACACACACAACAGCAATAGTGTTGGCCATGTTTATTGTTGGAGAAATGTCCAGGTGGCTGCTCTGCTCTGTGTTGGACTTCATGATAACAGTGGGTGGATAATATTCTTTAACTTAGTTACAGCACTTTCAGAAAGACATCTACTGTGAAGAAGTCTACTCCCGACTGCTGTGTAATCAATTATTGTAAATTTAAATGTTATAAGGAAATGATCAGACAGAAGAGGGTTTTCAGGAAGCACTGTTAAATGTCCATATGTTAAAACAAGATCTAGAGTGTCGTTAAAGTGGTGGGTGGGTTCTTTTACATTTTGAGAAAAGCCAATTGAGTCTAATAACAGATTAAATGCCATGTTGAGGCTGTCATTTTTAGCATCTATGTAGATCCCCCTAGAAGGCTTCTGTTTAAGACTATGCTTCTGCCTCACTGTCCCCCAGCCATCCTGTTTCCCTGGTCACTTGGGGAGTGTATCCCTAGGGACAGCTAGTGGGGCCTATTCTATTTTCAGCTGTACCTACTACAGGGGCCTGGCTAGCTACAGGTTTTTCAGGGTGTGCGAAGCCGAGTGTCCAGTTCAGTGTTCCTGTCTCCAGAGCTGTAAATAGGCTACATTTATTACAAGTATCAATACTGCTAAAGAAGGCAGAGGAGTAACTAAATATCCGACACAATGAGCATGAAAGTGTAGGGGGACAGTTGAAGAGGCCATGCTGTTAGCAAGTCGGCTATGAGATAAACTAAGCTGGCGAAACCCTAAAGACACTTTGGATACGTAAGGAATACACAATGAAATAAGAAGTTATATAAACGCTGTTTATATAAATTTTTTTCAGATAAGCTACATAAAAACACCACAGTATGCAGGAACAGGACGTTGTACTCTGGGCACCACCCCAATTTCACAATGATTTGATTATTTTTAACTGATTGTGCTGTTTGCGTTGCCCTTGCTAAATTAAATTATAATGTATCCTCTCTGAAATTCAATGTAATTTATCAATCTTGTGCTCAGTTGTTGCTCCTACCATTAATGAAGATGGCTGTTGATTGTATCTTCCCCCTTACTTCAGGGGGAACCATTCAGGCGAGGTAGTATGTGTTGGGGAACCCTGCTTACCACTGGCTTAAATAAGTTTTCATTAACCTATCGTGATAATATCCTAAGGATCAGAGGCTCAGGGACTTCTGTACAGAGGTAACCAGGCTTTGTACAGTTTGATAATCCACAGTCAGTTGTTTTATTTATTTATTGTACATGAACTATTTATTGTACTATTTATTGAACTTAAAGAGCTCACCTCTCTGCAGCAGACGCTTGCTGGGCTTTAAAATCAACGTAGTGATATTTAGAGTCGCTGCTCTGTAAGGACACACAGCTAGGTGTAGGTCCAGGTTGGTTCCTGTGAATAATGATGGAGCAGTGATGTGAGTGCTGAGCTGTGACATGGAGAAGAGTCAAGGACAGTTAGAGATGGTCGTCTCACCTCTGAGCTTTGGTCTGGCTCTCATGTTCCCCACACAGAGTGCTTTTAGAGGGAGGGACTCCCTCCTCTCTGTCCTCACACTGATCCATGCTGCTCAATTCACATCCACATCAGCTTACACACACTTTCTACCTTCACCTGCAGAGAAAACACAAATCATTCATGTGCACATCAACTGAAATCATGAAGCACACAAGATGCATTCACTGACACACACTGATTATTCCTGTTGAATGTGCAGAGAACAACACACACTCCAATTTACTGCTAATGAGATAAATAAGAAGTGACATTTTGTCTATGTAAATTCAGGAATAATGTGTGCAGAAATTTTCAAAATAAGAAGACTTTGTTTTTATTTTGATAGAGTCTTTTTGGTGTTGGCTTCTGACCTTTAACCTGCCCCTTATCATATGAGCAGCCCAATTTCTCATTAATTTAAAAACTTTTAAAAACCTGCTCAATCTCATTGGTGTTCAGAATCAGAATCAGAATACTTTATTGATCCCTGGGGGAAATTATTTTTTGTTACAGTGCTCCATTTTAAACCAACATTAAGACAAGACAGACAATACACTAACTAAGAATAGCACAATATATACATATATATACATACATACATACATAAGTACATAGCTCTAGTTTAACATAAAACCATTGCTTTTATTGTGCAAACACTCATTTAATTCTATTTTTGTTGATGATGGTGTTTAATTTTGTAAATTTAGGTTGATGGCTTTATTACCTACTTGAGTGTATACTTATGTTCAATTATTGATTGCTAATTAAGCAGAAACAAATTCAAAAAGAGAAATAATTCTCTCTTTTGTTATTGGATGGCTCTGTTTGGGAAATATTGCAGCCATTCCCCTGAACCTTGTTGGTGAACTGAATCAGTACTTTTTCCATGGATGATACAGATACTAACATGAAAACATGTTCAGCAGCTCTCTGATCACATCTGGTGCAGATTTTGGATATTTGTTTTTCTGTTTATTAATTATATGAAGACTAACACATCAATTTATTTCATTTACACATTAATTCAGATCATAAATCAGATTTACGTTATGTGAAGTAAACAGAAATGTCTCACTGCCTGTTGCACTACTAAAGACGAACTGTTTTACAGAGCAAACATAGCAAACTTACAGTTTCTTCAAACACACACATGAACAACAAGCTCCACTCCACACCTGGACACTAAACACGGACACACAGGTGAGCTGCTTCCTGGAAGGAGGCGGGACTCAACCTGAAGCAGGAGAGGTGCAAGGAAGAGGAAGCAGATTTTAAGATAAATTTCTGATCATTTATGTCAGATTTAAATTTCTTCTCTCTAAGTGGCTTCATTTTATTAACATAAGGAAATGACTTTGTGTCTTTCTCCAAAATTATAATTATGAGTAAAGTTCTTTGAAAAATACATCATTGTTAAAATTAACATAGCTTGGTAGTGGTAAAACAATATACTTTTAATGGCTGTCTTTCAAAGTGATACAAACTAAAAACTTTCCAAGTCAGCATTATTTCCCTCCTTTGTTTTCCATATTTGTAAGAAACAAAACTACTTTTTATGATGTTTGGTGTTTTCAGCCAAGGTAATAATTTTCATTGAAGTTTAAACTAGAAAAACTGGTAACTGCACACAGCATAGTTTCAGTTTGCAGCACAGCTGATCTTTGTGAGGCACCAACAGTAACAACATGTTATTTAACAGGCCTGTTTGAACACTAACACATATTAGTATATTTGATTTATATATACATATATACATCAGATTTGTTTTATGTAGGTAAAGCAAATAAAAATGTCTCATGTCCTGTTCTGCTCTTTCTGTTCCAACAGTTTCTGTGACGCCTCAATCATCAGCTGCCAGCAGGGGATTGTTTACCTGAACAGTTCCTCATGTCTGAATGTGTCTGACTATTGATGAGGTTATTAAAATGATATTCCACTCTGTTCTTTCTGTTTTTTAATCCTTCCTTCTGTTTGTTATTAAAAAATCTGAGTCCTTGTTACATGAAAACATCAACAGGCTGCTTCCTGCTTTATAGGTCCTCAACTCTGCTGACCAGGAGACAACCAGGTCTCAGACCTGATCATCTGGACACATCCATCCGATTCTGTTAAAGTGGTTTAGGCCTTCACACCAGAACATTTCCAACTAAGTTACAAGAGACAGAGTTCACTGAGTCCCTGATATATAAGGACTCTGATAGCAGATAACAGCACTGAGTAATGTTCATTTGTGATTATTTGTGTTTCTCATTGTGTCCTGTGTGGTGATGTTAACCTTTACATATACCTACTCTAAAAATGTATTTTTTATAGAATAATGAAGTTGCTACAGAGCACAGACAAAGGGTTAAATGAATCTCCTCTTATCCGTGGAATAAATTTTCTTAAAGGGAACAAAACAGCAAACAACCTTCTTTAACAGTTAATGTGTATTTACCTTTCAACAAATTTAAATAGAATCAGGGTTCTGAACCATACACCTCACACATTCTTGTGTGAGGTGTATGGAGCTATAAATGTATTTCAGGCTGTGAAACTTTAACTTTATGACTCACTAAGAGTACTTAATTACAACGAACTGAGTTTAACATGTATCAATTCATCTTGAGATACCATTATGGAACTTTGTAATTGTATTTAAGATAAGATTCAAGGCATTAGTTGGAAAAGGTTTGGAACCAAATCCAGGAGAACTGAGTACAAAGTGAGCATGAAAACAATGGAACACAATAAAAAGTTCAAACACGTTTTTTCTCAGAGAGTTTTCTGCACATTATGCATGTAAACCTCCACATGCAGATATTATCAGTAGGATAGTAGGATTTTAAACATGCCTAAATACTCATTGTGGGGGTTTTTATGTCACTTCAGTAAAACGTAAATATCAACTTCTTAAGAACAAAATTATTTTATTTAAAGGAAGGTCAATGTTACATCAGATTACTGATCAGTGTTCCACACAGACTGATGATTAAAATTGTTGTTCACAGTAACAAATGTTTCAGTACAGAGTTACTGAATATCAATAATCCATAATCATGTGGATTTGTCTTCAAACACAAGAGTGATTAAAGTTTATCCTGAAAGAAGAGCTGAACATCAGGTCCAAACATCACAGAGCAGAAACAAACAGTCAAACTATTAAAGGAAGAAACAATGCAAACTTACAGTTTCTTCACACACAGACACGAACAACAAGCTCCACTCCACACCTGGACACTAAACACAGACAAACAGGTGAGCTGCTTCCTGGAAGGAGGCGGGACTCTACCTGAAAAGTGTGAGAGAGCCACACCTTCATGTGCTGGGCTCAAAATATGTTGTCTGACTGCTCGGACTGGCTCAGGGTGACGCTGAGTAAAGTAAAGTAAGTAAAGTAAAATTTTATTCATATAGCACCTTTCAAGATAAAATCACAAAGTGCTTTACAGAGGCAGAAAACAGACATTAAAATCTCAAACAAAACAAAATCAACCAAAAGCAAATTTAAACAGATTCGTTTTTAACTGCTTTTTAAAAGACATGACTGAGGCCACAGATCTCAAACTCAAAGGGAGCGAGTTCCAGAGTCTGGGAGCCACTGATACAAACGCTCTGTCACCTTTTGTTTTTTGACCTTGTATGCGGGACAACCAGCAACCCCTGGTCACAAGACCTCAGGGACCTGCTGGGGTGATAAGGAAGAAGAAGATCACTTATGTAAGTTGGAGCTACACCGTGCAGGGCCCTATAAGTCATGATTATGATCTTAAAATGGGCCCTGAACTTGACAGGGAGCCAGTGCAGCTGAATCAGCAGGGGAGTGGCATGGGAGTGTTTGTGATGCTTTGTCAGAAGCCTAGCAGCAACATTCTGAACACCCTGCAGTCGTAACAGTAGTAACAGTAGTATTCATAGCGCATTGGTGCAGTAACTTTTGAATTTACTTTACTAACACAACAAGTAAAAGTATAAAGCAGAAAACAGCTGACTGACTTTAAGTCATTTCATTCATTAAGATGGAAATTTGGGATTTCTTTGTTTTGACTTTCAAGCTAAATTTGACTCTGTGAACCTAAAAAAGTGAAACGTATAAAAAGCTCTTTAATTCTGCTCATTTTGCTGTGAATCAAATGTTCAGATTATTGATAAATGTCTTTTGATGCTTCTGGCTTTTATTGATAATGTGGATAAACATGAATCTGAGGAATGATTGGTTCTTCCTTTCTGCTGATAATCAACATAATAAATGTTGCTCTCCTCATTGGGATTCTAACCAGGGGCCTGTTCTTCGTACCGCGCTAAGTGAGTTAGCTGGATGAGATTGTTGACGATTTCGCGTGATCCTGGATCGTTCGGTTCCCCGAAGCCCATCCGGGACTTGCTGTCATAGCAACAGAGCCGTAAGCGTAAACCTGCTGGGGAGCAGGCTTACTTTATGTAAACAGGATTAGATCGCGGCCACGCAGGTATGCCCGCGTCATTCATACGAAAGCAACAGCGATATTCCACCACTGTTTCACCATAAATAAATAACATCAATGTAACTAAAGACAATGCAGCACCTGATCCATTTATTGATTTCACACAGGTCATTTCCTAAAAAAGGGAAATGTACTATTAACATTCTATTACATGTATGTGATTATTACAGATTTAATTCATATTTCAGAGTAGTAATTGTAAATTACTTCGTGTAATCAAGATGAGAGACCACGGCTATAAAAGCGAAGGTGGATTTGGGAAGCCTGTCGCAGCCATGTCCTGTCCGTATACGCGACCAACCCATTGCGGAAGGTGCAAGATTGATAAGGAGAGTCCTCAGAATTCAGCGTATATTGCGGGACAGACAGGATCCTTTAGCTCAGCGCGACAGTGTGCTCATAGAGAGATATCGATTTTCCCGTGAGGGTATTATTCACTTAACCAACTTGTTGACGAGGGGGTGCAGGACCACCACCTGTCTTTTGTTGCTCTGCCCTTTTCTTGGTTGCTGTTATAAACAAACAGATTATTCCAGGGTCTC